ATGTTATTAATATATTATTTAGTTTTGAAAACAAAACTAAGCTTATTAAAATTTCTTATTTAACTTAATACAATTTCTCACCTTGTTATAGAAGCACTTCATTCATATAATATCTCATTGACAATACTATTCTTTTTATTTCGGATAATACTTATATATATAAAAAGCTTTTACTATCCTTTATCTTTAATTTCCTATTTAAAACATAATAGATGCTTAGCACATATTTATAACTTAGTAGGTAAAGAATGGCTTGTTTATAATAATTTTAAAGAATTAAATAGTGTAGTTAATAAGAGTGCTGATATTTATTAGGTAATATTTTAGGGGTGGGGGTAAAGCCAAACCTTACCTCTATATAATACAAAAATTTGATTGGCTAATCAAAAACCTTACCTGGGGGTGGGGAGTAGAGCTCTATAGTAAATGAATATTAGATAATAAATATCAGAGTCCTAATATTAAAGAAATTTTTCTTATTCATCTTCATACAAAAAAGATAGCTTGAATTTTTAGTATTAAATACTAAATCAGATTCAAATTTACTTCCTATTGAAGATTTAATTAATTTGAAAATTTTAAATATATCAAATACTATTTGTCCTACTTTTCCACCTCTTTTAGTAAAAACTAGATAAAACTCTTGGTCCTGATTTATTTTTTGGTTAAATTCTTATTTTGATATTTTTGCAGATTTTATTTCTAGCGAAGGTAATTTAGCAGGTAACAAAATAAGAAAAGTACTTAATGAATTAAATAGATTATTTTAAGATCATAAATATAAGGTAAAGTAAAGTATTGTGACAAAGGGGGTATTGTGTTGAATCGGGATATTTCATGATTCTGTAATCAGAATTGGGTAAAATTTACACTATTCGATTCGTCTCAGTGAGAGAAATCGAATGTTATAAGTTTTATTCAATTCTGACTGCTACACCACGAGATATTAAAATTAATATACTTTTTTGCATTTTTACAAATAAATGCCTTTGTGACTCAGTGGTCCAAAATTGGGCAATTCATATACCATTAGATTCCTCTTATTGAGAGGAATCGAATAGTACAATAATCACACAATTTGGATCTTTGGATCACGAGATATTTATGTTTAAACTATTTAGATATATAGAAATATATATAATCCCATAGTAAATGGGTATTGTGACAAATTGGGGATATCTCGAGACCCTGTGATCAGAATCTAGCAATTTCTATACCATTCGATCCCTCTCATCAAGAAGAATCAAATGATATAAAAATTGCTAGATTCTGATCATAGGGTCCTAAGATATTCTCAATTCATCACAATACCCTCTAGCACAAAAAATTGCTTATTTTTTAATAAAACTTTAAACTAGCATATCTTGAGATTTAGTAATCTAAATCAAATGATTTTAGTATCAATCGATTCAGCTCAATGAAATGAATTAAATAATACTAAAATCATTCGATTTTAATCGACAGATCATGTGATATGTTCGAAATTTGTTAACTTCGTCACAATACCCCACTTTACCTTATATTTTTTTAAAAAATAATTACAATATTTATAACCTATAATGCACAATCACATATATATATATTTAATACTACTTACTTTATTTAATGCTATATTTATACAATAATAATAATTATACAGTGTTAAATATTTAATTTATAGGCCAGTAAATAATTTAAAATATTTTAAAATCCAAAACAAATCTGTTGCTCTATATGTTGTTTCTCAAATTGAACAAACTCAAGCACTTTTACAAGCAGGAACAATTAATCTATCTTTAAATACTCAAATAAAGTATAAGTTTAATACTAAAAATATAAATATCAATTCATATAAAGTTAGATTTCAAGAAGCTTTTAAATTGGCATTAAACAAATTTAATAAGCATATTACAAATCATTTAGCACTTATATTGTTTAGAGCTATTCAATGCTTTGAACCTCGATGGATTCAACAACAAGTTACTAGAAAAAATTTTACTTCATATTCAATAATTCTAGAATTTAATAAACCAAATAATTAACTAATTCAAGAATGGAGAATTTTTGAAGAAGATTTTGATTTAGAAAAATTGATTAAAAAATATTTATTTTTTACCTCAGTTAAGTAAAATAGTTTTAAAATATATTTGGGTTCCAATTTTTGGTATTGATGTTAAACATAGTTTTTCAGTATATAAAAAAATTTTATCAAATAGATAGCATGCACTTTTTTCTGAAACAATTGAGATGTTAAATATGTTATATTTTAATCAAATTGATGATTAATATTAATAAAAAATAAAATACATATTTTACATAATTTGTAATTTAATGCATAAATAAAAAATCGCAGGGTTTGGGTTTGGGTTCGTGTTAGAGTTTGTAGTTATATGTAAAATTGCATTTACGGCAGTTTTTGTTAGTGCTTAAAGGCCGATTTAAACACCAGTTTTCGAGTATTTTCGCTTTTCTCTTTTTTTCTTCTTGCACACGTGTTTTGTTTGATGTCGGATCGATCCGGGATGATCGAAATTTACGAATTCCGATTGGTCAGCCATATCACGTCACTGCAAAAGTGTCTAGACCCCTGGTGGGCTTAGCTTAGCGGCTGTGAAGATCACTTGCCAAAATAGATTTTCTGGTAGAATACGTTGATGATTGAAATATGCTCATGTATCTTCCACAACGGATTAATTTATGATCGTGTTGGTGCTCAAGTATTTTTATTAATTAGAATATTGTACGGTTGATGCTTGAGCAAACGTCTTTATCATTATTACCATTTCGCAATTACAAATAGAAATAAAGACAAAATAAATTAATGAAAATGACGGATCAACGAAAGGATAAAGAATCGTTGATTAGGGTGCTTGAGAACATCCATAGTCATCTGAATGGCTACATATATAATGTCGTGCATACGTCTAAAGCTAAGATTAAGCCAATGCCAACGGTCAACTCAGCTGCGAGATATTACAAATGTAACAAGATAAAGATCAAATTAGAGTGACTATTTCTTAATAATTTCATGATAACTAGTTTATTGTAAGATGGGACGTAACGTAACGTATACATTAACGGAGAATTTTCGATTATTTAATTATCACCTGTAGATAATTGATTTTTTTCACTCACATTAGAATTTTAGAGGGTGAGCATAATTATTTATTTACTAAATTATGTATTTAGATAAGTTGCTACTAGAGATATACAATACAAGATGATATATCAACTTGCGATTTTTTTTTATAACTTGTGTGAGATGACATTATATCCCACGAGAGACAAACTGTTTGAGCATGAAAATTTTAATGAATTTATCTCGCTCAAATTATATCATTATTTGTGAGATTACACGATACATCTTATTTAGGTTCATTTTATTCACTTTAATTTAGTGGGTGTACATTAGCGTATCGGACCAAAAGTTTTCTGGTCGAAAAAGATTGATTCCACGGACAACTAAAAAAAATTGCTGATAATCGGATCTGTAAGTTTCTGATGTCAGCAGACACAGCAACTATCAATTACAATAGAATGTGAAAATAACTGTGATCTTTATCTTTCAATTGTCCCTGTTTAGAAACTAGTGAGCAAAAATATTTTATGATACGAAATTACAACTTATGGCTTGTGATATTATGCTGTTATGACCTTGTGATATTATATTTATAAACAACATGGCCATGCCACAATTTTATGAACATGACTTTTTTATTTATTGATTTATTTCTTGTCACACTATAAACAATTTGTTAAAAGTGTTATTTTCACACAATATTTAAGTCAGGAGTAGCCTACCGTGTGGTATCACAGTGTTGTGAAATGCAGTGTTTCAATAACAAGCCTTTGGCTTATAACAATGAGTTTTCAAGAACAAGCCCTTGGCTTATAACAATAGATGTATTTGGTTTCCATAAAAGTGAATAGGGATATGACATCACTTATGTCCTGTATAAAAAATCATAAAAAATCGGGTTGAAACTGAACTGTAACCGGTGACGTAAATAAGTCTGCATCTATATACAGAAATCCATTATTTTATTAAATTTTAGTATTAAGTATTTGATGTGATAAAATTGCAATTTTTGAAAAGAAAAACAATGACGTAATATATATATACGCATGACTCAATTCCTGTGTTGACAAAACTATTTAAATTTTTTATTTTTAACCTGGTGAAACTTTTTCTATTTTATGAACCCATTTTTTTTTAGCTAGACTAAAAACTCATCTTAAATATTTATGTAATATTGAAAATGAACAGTTCTTTTTTTTTCGAGAGTTTTTTGGTTAATTTGTCATTTTCATTACCTGAGACTATAATTATGGCTACCTGAGCTATCTCTTTTATAGCCATTCTTTTAAATTCTGTATATCTACAACATAAGTAGCCTATCGATTCAGCAGATAATCATCACAAACTTTTTATCGGTTGTTCCAGAATTTGGGATCATGTTTGCTGAAATTATTGCCGAATTATTTGAACTATTGCTATTATACTAAATTACATTAAATGGTATATTTATATTGATGGTTTCATCTAAAAACGCATCAATGTTCAAATATTTTCTAAAATTTTTGTTTTAAAAAACATAATTTATGAACACAACTATAACCGCAATACGTAGAACTACCTTATAAGTTTGACTGGAAAATAATTGAGACTTTAACATTTAATAATTATCCGATGTTCCAATATAGAAGACCGTAATAAAAAAGAAAATAAAAAAAAGTTAATTACGGTCAAATCTATTAGTTCATCATAAGGTCTTATCATTCATTTGATTTTTTTTATCGTGCATTATAACCTTTTTCTTACCGCGCATTCTAACTTTTTTCTTTGTTCTAAATAAATCAACCAAGCCATTAAAAATATTTATGATTTCAACGATATCTGATAAGAGTTTTAATGAAACTGTAAGCCACACTTTTAAATCGCTTAAAAGAAATGATTTATTTCTTATGCTTGCTATTTTCTTCAATATTCGTTATTTTTCAATCTTCAACTTCATTTCAATATGGAGGAAACAGAAAATAGTGAAAAAACAGAGACAATAATCTTTTTTGAGGAAGAGCCACATACTGTATCAGAAATTTGCGTATCCAAGGATGGAAAATATATCATTACTTATGATCAAGTCAACGATTCTCTTTTAGGATGGATTGTAGATGATGATGATGTTCGAGCTGATAATGAAATTGGAATATTTAAAATAGAAAGGCAACAAGAAGAACAAGATGAAAATTTATTATTTAAAATTACTTCTATTAAAACTAAAATTGCCATGATTGTTTTTAATGATAAAGGATACGGTAAGGATTGAATTCGATTAATTATTATAACTATTATACAGTATGTTGCTATTTATAATTTATATGTTTCTGATTAAATTTTTATTAGGAATTGTTGATTTGAAAGCAAAATGTAAGATAATATGCCCATCTCAATTTTATAATACAAGCCCTGAATTTATGGAATTTTCGAGTATCGATGAGCTTATCATATTCGCTGAAGAAGAAGAAATTATATATATTTATTCGGCAAATTTTAAGAAAAACATGTGGATAAAAAGTATGGCATTAAAAATTAGCATTTATATGGAAAGTCTTGACTACTTTGGAATTACGGGTGAAGAATTTGCAGAAGAAATGGATAGGATAGAAAGAGTTATCGCTCCAGATTTAAATTCAAAATGCATGTATTTAATTACAAATAACGGCATGCTTCTTTTGGACAGAGAGACTAAAACCACTGAAACGCGCATAACCTATGATTCTGTTTTTAAGGTTTTGTTTTTTTTTATTGTTAATCAATAATAATATAATTATTATTATTTTTACCTCGTAATATATTGGTTATAGTTAGTATTAATTTTAATCTATTAGCAGATGTTAATTACTGATGAAACATTGCTTGTAACAGAAAAAATAGAAATTGATAAACATAATAAAACTGATAATACCGATAATACCGATAAACCCGTGCAGGAAAAAGAAAAAAGAAGAACCATTAATGTTAAATCAATTAGAACAGGATTAGTTGTTCGAACTTTTGATATACCATCCTTAGCATTAAACGAAGGTAAATTTTATCTACACAACAAATGTTATTTTATTATATCTTTTTGTTATCGACTTTTCTTTATTATACAAACCATAGAGGATAATGAAAAATGGTATATAATACGCAGCCTTGATAGTCTATATATTATAGCTTTTATCAACACCAATATCTTGTTATTAAACATTGTTGATGGTAGCGTATATGTAATTAAGGATGATTTGAATGAAGAAATCAAGACCATAGTTAATGAAAATCTTTCCGACTTTAATATATTTACGATTTATGTACCGACAAATACATTATTTGGCATTCAAGATAATAAGATTTTAAAAAAGAATTTTAGAAATTTGGATTTCAGAAAACTTTTTTATAATCAACATCTTGATGTGCTCATTTGGAATACATATTTGAACACACAAGAACCTGATGTTAATCTTTATCCTATATGTCCTGATATTCAAGAGCTTAAAAGAATTAAACAATTACCTATTGATGCTCTCAAAAGGCGAAGTTGTGAAAATGAGTTATTAAAATGGTCCTGGGTGGATAAGGAACTGAAAGTTGAATTAAAGTTAGATACTGAACCAGAATCGGATCCGGAATCGAAATCAGATAAACTTGAAATTGGTGAATGTGCGGAACCGATGATGGAAATTATTTACAACACTGACTTAATAATTAATACAGGAAAAGATTTATGTATATTTCACTTTGATCTGAATATGAAATCTGCGACACTTCAATATTACTGGCGCATATTTAATACAAATGAAGATTCATTTATCCCTTTTAATTTAGAAAATGAATTATTCTTACCTAGAACTGATTTTTATAAATCCATAAGTTCGGGTGATGTTTCTGACTTGCAAGGTAATTGGACTGACGCAGTTATTGAGGATAAATTTAGTTTATCAGCATATGGAGAAGACTTAGTACTTTGCTTTACTTACCTTCGTGCATCTTTTTTGGTAATTGGCATACTTGAGAAATGGATAAAGTGGTTTACAAAGTCGCCCAGGGAAAATTTTCATTTTTTGAAAATCATTAGCATTTTATACCCAGAATTATACAAATCTTTTCCTGAATATATGAATAATCTTAATGAATCATTAAGATTTACTCTTGATAAAGAGTTAAGTATTACATACAGTATATAATACTTTTAATTTTATAATGATATATGATATATTAATTTTTATCTTTAAACAACTCAAAATTTTAGAATGTGGTGTGGTCATCTGGGTACTCATTTAGAAGGTATGTAACTAATTGACCTTGAATTTCAATTTGATATTGTCTTTTACGTAATCCTCTTCCTTCTTATCTTATAGCATTTTCCCGCCAAGCTGAGATTAAGGAAATAACACTACTAAATACTAAATTTGAAGAATTATTAAATATTTTTTCCTATCCAATTTCTCTTTTTAACGACCTATCATATTTCATCCAAAGCTCTAATATTTATAGAAGGATCTTTGGAATATTTGGTGGAAAAAAAGATATATATCATGTTATTTTCGTTGTTCCATTACCAGAATTTACTTCTTACCCAAAGATCTATAATTCTTTTAAAGAATTTTTTTATAGACCACTTTCAAACTCCTTTATCGAATCTTGTAATGTAGATAATTATGCTAGTTTGGGTTGGAATGGTGAAGCAATTTTAAATTTCAAGTGGGATACCTTTGGAAAATATTATTATTATGCGATTTGGCTTATATATCTTTTTTTTCTTTCATGTTTCATGACAATTTCTTTATTCCATGACTCTTTAAATGAAATTATTCGAATTAGTCTTATATTTATAGTTATTTTTCTTGGATTTTGGCATCTTTTTTTTGAAATTCGAGGTTTCATCTGGGATCCATTAAGGTATAGTTTAGAACCTTGGAACTACTTTGGTTGGTATATATATATATATTTTTAAGTTAATTGCGGAAATTATATAAAATATCTAATAATAATATAATAATTATTATTTAGATTTAGGAGCTTTTATTTTGCCAATTATTACAGCATTTTGCATGCTTCAGGGTGATGCTTCTAATTGGTCGATTTTGATTTCAATTGCGGATTTACTAGTTGGCTTAAAATTCATTCTTTATTTCCGTGTCTTGGAGTCTTTTGGAGCTTATTATGCAATTATTATTGGTGTCGCAAAGGCAATTTTTGCCTTTCTGGTCATGATCGTTCTAATTATTGTAAGCTTTGGCTTAGCCTTTTATGTACTTTTAAAACCAAGTAGTACAGTTTACTATGATCAACCAGGAAATCAAACTAATGATGAAAATAATCCATGGAGTTTTGCATCTTCCTATTATCAAGTTTATGAAAATGGCACTATTGGATCAAATCCAGTACTCATCGCGCAACCAGATGAAAATGAGGATATGTTTGCCTACATTCCAACCTCACTTTTTGCAATATACGGATATCTTGCAGGTAAAATTTTTATTAAAACGTGTCTTTAAAAATAATTATAAACTTATAACAAAATTTTGCTTACAGGAGACAACAGTGCATTTACATCTTGGTCTTATAGAGAACGTCCAGTTTTGGTTTTATTATTGATACTTTTTTCATTTTTCGTTGTTATTTATCTTATGAATTTATTTATTGGGCTTCTTAATATTGAAATCCCAAACCATTCAAGCCGAGCATCATATCTCATTCAAAAAGCAGAGGTTTATTTTCATTTCCTTAAGTTTTATATGTATAAATAATATTATTAAATCATTTTATTTTATTTATTTTTTTTAGATACTTGCAGATATTGAATTATTTTATTTATTGCCTCATCAAAGGCGTTGGCAATCTTGGTTTCCTAATATGATGTAATTATCTTAATTTGACAATTTTTTTTAAAAAAAATCATATGCCTGTTATAAATTAATAATACAATTAAATTGTGTGTTTTTTTTTTAGATATTATTATGTGCCTGCTAGCGAAATTACAAAAGATATGCATGAAAAGACCAAAGACAGTGAACAAAGCGTTAAAGAATTCAAATCTAAAAATAAAGCATTATTAGATTTGACTCAATATAATTCTTAAAAAAAATTTTTTTAGATTTTCATATAATCATTTTTATTTTATTTATATGATGGTTGATAGTTTTATTTAAATCTTTTTTAGCAAATTTCGAAAATCCTTATATAGCTGGATTTTATCTACAAGTTTTTCTACTCTGTTAAAATATTTTTAGATCAATTTATATTAATAGACAAAAATATATATATAGTATATCTCTCGCTATAAAGTAAAATGCATTTGCTATTACTGTCGCATAGATTTGAATAACGCATTAGAGTTGCACCTCAACTAATAAATTCAAATACTGATTTTGTTACTTAATAATTTCTCTATTTGCCACGTCCTTTTTGATTTAAGTTGATTAGAAATTAACACATATTAATATGTTATTTTAAAATCGGCATAATTTACAAAATATAAAAATTTTAAATTTGCACATTAATTTTATGCATGAATGTTGCTTTGATTACATGAATTTCAAGCAAAAGATGAAAAAAGCAAATAGAAAAATTAACGATTTTGACATTACATTTTCTCATGCATAGTAAATTATTTTTTTGACAACTGTATTGCAATTAGCTTTTTAACAATGGCGGTAGTCTTTTCTTTTCTACTTAAACTAATTGCTTCTTAATGAAAAAGATATTCATTTCATCGTTAAGTGGGGTCTTTGCCTTGAAAAACAAAGCCGTATATTAGTTCATGTTTATATGTAAACCCTCTTTTATCTTTATGATTCAATAGCTTATAGAATAAAGTTTTGAATCAATAAAGGCAAAAAGAGATTCAAATATAAACGTGATCTAATATGCGGATTTGTTTTTGTCCGAATTAACCCGAACAGAAATGTCGGAGGGTGATTTTCAAGGCAAAGACCCCAAGTCTTTGATTATTACTATAATTTTTTTTAAAAAAAAATTAATTTTGTAGCAAATAAAATTTATTTATTTTAATAATTACTTATTTATTTACTTCAGAGTTTTTGTTATTAATTTGACTTGAGGATCTTAACAAAGAGTTTTGCTTAAACCGGACCAATTTATCAAAGTCCTCCCACCGATCGTAACATTTGGTGCTGGTTGTGTGGATCTGAATGGCATAACCAGCAACCTATAATCAGAATCGAATGCTGATTTTTAATGTAAAAACATATTCATTGATTAAAGAAACTGAAATTGAATGTTAATGGAAATCGGCCTACTATTGACGTCCTCGAGCTCAAGTCAGTTACTAAATAATAGAGATCAATTAAACTAGAAAGCACAATGGATTGATAAATTCCATCAGACTTTGTTTTTAATGCAATATTAACTGTTATCGAAAGTCCTAAATCTGCAATGTACGCATTCTTAAAGTTATCTTATAGCATTTTATTATTTCCGCTATGTAAATACCGATAATAAGGTCGTATCAGAAGATCTGACGTAATAAATTTAATTTATACTTTCAATTAATTTATGCTATAATATGAAGATTTTGATGCAAACAACCTTCTAAAGAATATTACTCAACAAAAATATAATCTTTATAAACTTTGTCTTTTGATATACAAAAACATCTTAAAGAAGTTTGATTTATAATACTGTCACGGGTTAATCAATGGCTTTTGTCAAAGAAAAACCTAACCCAGCAGTTAAGCACTATCGACTTTCGCTTAAAGCGATTCGGGATTTTTATCTGAATGGATAAGTATTTATTTTTATTATTTTTGTTATGAAACAACAAGAACGTTCTTTATTATTACTTTCAATATGTCTAATTTGACTCAACAATTACATCATAATTCGATCATAGAAATTTAACTCTTAAATTAATTACATATTTCTGACTTATTATTCATGCTTGAACCTTATCTTACGTTGATAAACTAAATTGTATCACCAACCATTGCATAATTGATCGCGGTTTGATCAAATGTTTATAATTCTGATCGATCTTACTTTATCACGTGGATCACGTGTATTCGACAACTTGTACATAATTTATATACATTTATACATATAGTATTATCATTATTCCACCAACCCCATTTCTAGTGGTTCAGGTCGATCCCTTTTACCCAGTACAGCGGATACTGTTCTTCACCATGACAATACAGATATCACAATATGCTTTTAACTTATTATTAATATGAAATATATATTCGAATTATTAAAATAAATGATAAATTACAAATAAAATAATTATTAAAAAATTATTAAAAAAGACTACTTCTCTTGTAAATTCATAATTGCTTGATTCTTGAAAAAATTAAGAGCAATATTTTTTGTTTAAATTTTGACTTTTGTCATACCATCTTGTATAATATACATTTATAATTCCGCCTTTACCTAATATCTTTAAATTCATCATAAGAGATCTATAATAACTGATAGTTGTTTTCAATCATCGATATATATGAAAGAATAAAATAAATTAGCACTCTGGAGTATAGATGCTGGTGAAATATGGTGAAATGTAGTGAAATAATTTCACCATTATTGGTGAAATTGGTGTTGAATTAGTGAAGTTGGTGAAATTAATTTCACCAGCATCTATACTCTGGAGACATAGCACGACCATAAATCTACCAAGATCAGATTGGAAAACCTTGGTTCAAGTTTCAAGGCTTTCGGGTCTTACTGCGGCATGAATATAAGCAGATAAGTATATCTTTGGGTGTTGTTTGTATTTGTTATTTAGATTGGCCTAATTTGAGACTAAAGAGAACTCTAATTTCCAAGTTCTAGAATATTGAGATTTTGATATTTGACTTTAATCATGAACGAAGTTCACGATATCACATGAGTCACGTGGGTTAAAACAGAATCGCAATATCGGTATTGTAAGTAAATTTAGGCTAACAATGATTTTGATCAAGGTTTAATCAATTGTTATACTAATATAAAAAGAGAATTTGGATTATTATTATTAATAGTAACTTTCTTTTTCTTTTACATCAAAAAAAGTAGAAAATACAAATAATAGGAGGTCATAGGAACAAGAGACATTTACAAAAACCTTATTAATAATGGATTTATTACTTTTAAAGGGAATCACTAGAGCTAGCACTTCTACTCAAATTTCAAAAGTCAAAACTAGTGATATGCCACATACAGTACTATAAATACCATACATTGTGAAAGTGTGACTAACTAGTTTAAAGCTAAAACTAACTAATAATTACATTAAACTATTTAAACTATCTAAACTACAACTCTAATACTCTAAAAATATTCTCAAAACTCCTAGGACCTTGGATTGGTAGGCTTCAAATAGAGGTGTGGATAGTGATGTGCCATTTATATAATGTCTAAAAATTTTTAGTGTACAGTACATACTGTATGTACTGTATGTATAGTATTTATATAATAAAGTTGCTTTAGCAGTTATATTTTAAATTTTTACTATTAGTTTATATTACAATTAATATAATATTTATCATCACCCTCTCCAAGCAACAGGTCTAGAGTTCAAATCCCGCTGGTGACAATTTTGAAAAATAGGCCTGTGTATAGTTAATGGTTTTTATTGGTTGGATCTAGATTAATTTGTAATCTTGGTCACACCATCTAGTAATGGAAGCTTCGGCACAATAAATCCAGAGAATCAGAATAACTGAAAACCTGTTTGGCAAGTCCTGAGTTTGGAGATAGTAGTGATCTATGACAGTATCACGGGAGAGCTGAATTTGAACTGGGACATGAGATTAGAGAACCAAGCAACCAGGTTCTAATGGCAAAGGACATACTAGCTGAATTACCAGGTTGTCACACCAGAGAAAAAGAACATATACTCCAAAAGTATGAACCAAGAGGAGGGTATCCTTCAGATACCTAAAGCCTTGGCAGACCAACCTTTTTGAGTTGCTAGCTGGAAGTAAGGGAGAGACTGATAAAGAATCTAGGTAAGAAGATGGTCTAAATGCGAGGTACTGGGGTTGCTAGAAACCAAAACAAGAGCAAGGAGTACGTAATAGACACCTAGTTAAAAAGGTTGGTGCTTGAGAAATGTCTATAAAATGGCAGCACCCCAAAAAGTGGTGTGAGATATAAATACAGAATGGTAGGTCAATATGAACTAATTAGGAAGAAGTTCTAGGAACAAGCATATAAATATATGTTTAGAACATGTACCACTATGTTAGGTTTACCTCAAGGATAGTTAAGTTTCCTAAGATAGGGTGCGAAATCTAGATTGGATAATACCAAAATTCAGCATATAAATGGTAAAAAAACCCATTGGGTTAGGGAGCGAATAGAGGTATTTAGACCAGATAGTTTAAATGAGTACTTCCTAATTGGGGTACAGGTACAGCAGATAGTATAAAACCTTTGGGTGGACTGCTTAAATAGGCACTCAAAAGGTGTACATGTGGCTTAATGTACCATCATTGTAATTATATATAAAACTCTGTCAATACTCTAATAAAAAGTTTCTCAGACCAAAGAGGTCACCTTAATACCAAAAAAAAAAATTAATATAATATTTAATCTATTTTAATAAATAAATATTTTTTTTTTTTGTGTTAAGGAGACCTCTTTGGCCTGAAAGCTTTTATTAGGATTTGAAACGGTGTTTTATACGCAA